ACACCAAGATCCCTGATCATTGCACAGAAAGTTAAGATAACTAGATTCATTTTAAATCATACAATACAATACCAACCAAAGTTGTTCAATATAATGTAAGTATTTGATGATGTTGATAATCATCACTTCATGTCCTTGTGTTCATGTTCTTTTCCTAAACATTCCATGTTTTGTTATTCACTTCACTATATAAATCACACTTTCAATTCTCATTTCTAGTTTGGTTTTCCTCTTTTTTACTTCATTCTTTCACAATTCTTTTCCAATGGCACATTTACCTCCTAGAGTACCAAACATGACACCAAATTGGCCTGATTTTTCACATCATCAAAAAATAGACACCACAACTACAGCCATTCACAACCCTTCATGGGTAGACGAATTCCTCGATTTCTCGTCGACGAAACGAGGTTCACATCGGAGATCTATTAGTGATTCAATAGCTTTTCTTGAAGCTCCAATGGTTGAAGAATGCCGAAGGCTATCAACTCCAGGAAAAACAACTGGTTCAGAATTTGAAAGATTTGACGATGAACAACTCATGTCAATGTTTAACGATGATATTGCCAACCCTTCGTCGCCTTCGGACAATAACAGCATTAATGAAGAAAAGAAGATGAGTACAATAATCTCCACTGATGACCAAGAAATGCAACAGCAACAACAGCAGCAGCAGCTTAAGACTGAACCTGAAGAAGTTGAAAGTTCATGCAAATCAGATGAACAAACTGCTTCTGATCAGCATGCAACTGCTGATAATAATTCTAGTGAAAAAATTGTCGATCCTAAGAGAATTAAAAGGTAAGAAAAAAGTTTTATTCAATAATTCATCGTCACATTTTAATGTTTTCTCATTATGTTAATTCTCATACATATAGACTGGATGAATTTCTGTTCTCGTTCAGCTCATCTTTTATACCTAGCATTATCTTTAAACAATGTCTCCGCATCCAGAGACTATACAATTCTAGTAGTATAAAAATCAATTCTCGGAACATAAATTTCTGAGTTTATATAGTAAAAGTATACTACAATGTCTTGAAAACTGTGAAATTATATAATAGTTGTTGATTATTGATTAAAAATTAGTGGAAATTGGTTGTTGATAATTATTGCTAATTAATACTGCAATGAATAATGATATATTCTTCTCTTTTTTTTCCAATTATTGGTGGTTATGTAGGATCTTGGCAAACAGACAATCAGCACAAAGGTCACGGGTGAGGAAATTACAGTACATATCTGAACTAGAACGTAGTGTTACAACACTTCAGGTATACAAAATGATTCCCAGTTTTAATTTTTTTTTTCTATTAGCATTAAAATATGCTTTATTAATTTGGAGATTTAGATTATTTATAAAAGTCAATCTTATTTATTTTTTCTTCCTGATATTGTGAAGGCTGAAGTTTCTGTATTGTCACCAAGGGTTGCATTTCTGGACCACCAACGTCTGGTCCTAAATGTTGACAATAGTGTCCTCAAGCAAAGAATCGCAGCTCTTGCCCAAGATAAAATTTTTAAAGATGGTAAATTTAACTTCTTTTTTACTCTTCTATTAAATTATTCATTAATTCGTTAATTTAATTCCTCTTAAAGTCAATTAGTCGAACAATGTCTTAACATAGCTTTTATTCTATGAGGACGTAGTTGAACGTTAACTTGTTATGGAACTGAGACGTAGTTATTTTTGTTGTTATAGCTCATCAAGAAGCGTTGAAGCGAGAAATAGAAAGGCTGAGGCAAATATATTATCAACAAAACCTAAAGAAGATGGAAGATGAAATACCAACAACCCAATCAAAATCACAACCAGCAGCTGCAGATGCAAATGCTTCTGAGCAGAAAGAACAGCTCGTCAACTGATCTGATCCTTCAGCTAGGTACGTTTTAGTCGGAGTTGAATAAAATATTAAGAAAAAAGAAGTAGATAGTACTAACAAATAATAATGTCATAATAATGGTAGTAATAAAAGGAACTTAGGAAGATAGGTACCAATAAATGATGGATCTTAATATGTGAAATAATTGTACAAATGACTCTTCCTTATTGAGAAATAATAATTTCCATGAAAAAGAAAGACTTTTTTTTTATAGTAGTGACTAATTAATTAATTAAAGGCAATTTGATGAGCTATAATAACAATTGTTCATCTAATCGCATAAACTAGAAATAATCGCGGTATATACTATATATATAATTTATGTATATTATATATATAATCATATATTCTCATTATAGTTTATGTATACCGACTAAAAAATAAATAACTTGCGTAAAAGTTCCTCTTTTTTATGCAGGAAAAGAAAAATTAAAAAAAGATTGTAGCCCAAGGAGAAGCACTAAGCAGATTCATGTGGTGATTGGACCCACAAAGAAAGTTTCTTATTATGGAGGGGACAAAGATAAGGTCACTTGAATTCATGCAGTGAACTCTCAAATTTAGGGGACCATAAGAAGTTAGTTTGTTTTTCTGCTTAGGGATGGGTGTGTTATTATTGTTATTATTATTATTAATATTTATTTCTATTTGTCAATCATTAATTTCCTTTATTTAATTTCTTCAACTACCTTCAAATATTTTATAGTTGGAAGGGGCAAGTGGAGTTCTTGAAAGGTAGCTGTTTGATGTCAGTTTATGGCACGCTCTTTTTTTCAGTGTCTTTTGTTGTGAGTGGTTTATTATTCTTTTTATCTTTTGCTACTATGTATTCTCTCTCAAAGAGAGCAATAACATTGATAAATGTAAATACTTCCTTTTTTCCTATTTACATTTCAGAATGTTTAACTGATTAAGAAATTTTAAATAATATTTTGGGTTATTTACAGTGCACTTCAATTCTTGTTAGACGAGTTAGCAAAATCATTATTTTGGGTTTTGGGGGGGGGGGTTGAAGCAATTAGAAGAGTCGAGGACTAAGGACACAAATGCAATCACTAATGGAACTAATAAGAGAGGAAAAGTCAGTGAGAAGGGGAGAAGCCAATATTCTTAGTCAGTACCATTATATATACTATTGTAAATCCAAAACCTAATACATAGAACCAAGTTATACCCCTATGCAATAGCAATCACAATACTACATTCATCAATACCTACTGTCAGAACTCAAGTACTAGAAACTCTAAAGCATTACTAACAAGGCCCCAAAATAATAGTTTTAGAGATCAGCATGGGCTAACTCAAGGTTTCTTCAAAATACTTGCAAAATCACCACCCTGCAAGCAACATAAGAGCAACTTGTCAACTGTAGGTCGAACATCTGCGAAAGAGCTGCATGTAAGATTAAACTCTAGTAGACACACAGATAACCAGCACATACAAGAAAACATCTGAAAATGCCTATTCAAAGTATGCGGACAACGCAGAAAGGTTGATGATCTTTCTCGTGAAAAAGCAAAAGTCCGCAAGATTTTGCTTTGTGTGTCACGAACAATTAGCAAATATTTCCACTGAAAATGCTACATTATATACCCATTATGGTACATACCAGTTTCTAGTCTGAACTATAACCATAAGCAAGCACATCTATGGGTTTAAAGATATGTCCCACGCTGCTGTTATTATCAAGGTTGAGTTAATACCCTCAAATCCGTCTAAACTATACAATATNAACTTGTAAACTATATTCATTTTACTTTGAGTTAATACCCTCAAACCCGCCTAAACTATACGATCTTTGTCAGTTCCCTACCTAAATTATCGACTGTCCCCAAAACCCCCCGAACTATATCCCCCTTCATAATAACCCACCCCCCTCTCCCGGTTGCTTATATGGCATATTGTGTGAAATAAATCGCCTAAGAGCGCGTGAATAGTGACAATAACCATTAAAATGGGCCCACCTGACAGCAACTAACACCTAATTAGCCCCCTTTTTTTAAAAACTTATATTTTCTCCTCTTTTTCTTTATATTACACCTTCTCATTTTTTTCACCTTTCTTCTCCATTTCTTCATCTTAATCCATTTGAAATTCTCTCTCTTGTTATTATTGAGTTTATTTCTTATCTTTCTCGTTTTATCCATCCTTCATTCTTACCAAATTTATTTGAAAGGAGCACAAAATCTTCAACAAAAAGGAAAAGGCATAAACCTTTTTGAACAAAACACAATGGTACCGTGTCACTACCCACGATCTTTCTTCTGCAATTCTAACACTATTTCTCATACCATCAAAGCCTTCCCCTTCTTCAATCCCCTTACTCTCCTCGAGCCCCATCCTAAAATCCCTTTGTCCTTTTTTTTCTTCTTATTTTTCAGACAAATCCAAAGTAGCACTTATCTTTATTTAGTGACAAAAATCACAAATCTCAACAAACAATCACAAAACCCTAGATTTAATTCTGATTTCTAATAGCAGCAATAACAGATAGAGAAATCGATGGTAAAAACCGTGATTAATGAAGAGAAACGCTACTTAGAGAAGGTGTCTCTCATCTTCGATGAGAGAATTTTTCTTATCAGAGCAAAGAGGTCATACTTTGAGAGGAGTAAATGACAGAATGTGCAATAAAATCCCCTTTTTTATTTTTTCACATAATTAGATTAACATATATTAATTAAGCCTGTTTTTCCACGTGGATTACCACATGGCAGGTTTTAAAAATTATTTAGAGAGTGTATCACACGCACTAGTAAGAATGAGACGGATAGGGTTTTATTATGAAGGGGATATAGTTCAGGGGGTTTTCGGGGACATGCAATAGTTTAGGTAGGAAACTGACAAATATTGTATAGTTTAGGCGGGTTTGAGGGTATTAACTCACCAAGGTTTGCAAGTATAATATATAAATTTTGATTTTTCATGATAATATACGGAAACTTATTAGAATTTTTATCACTGAAACACCTCGTATAATTTGGAGACTTATTATTTTGAAAGACAAAATTGCCCCTGCTATGATTCTTGTTTAATATGATACTAGGACATTTAAGGAAATCCAAAAGTGGGTACAATGCTAACCTACTACCTTCATGTAGTAGGTTAGCAAAACCCACATATATGTATATAAATTATAAATTAATAGGTAAACTGTAATATCCATAAAAAAGGAAATGTGAAGATTCAGTTGGGACAAAGGGGAAGAAACAGCAATGATCAAATTTTGAATGTTTTACAGTAAAAGTTCCAAGAGAAGGCGACATGAGAGTAAAGATTAACGCAGAAGATTTAAAAATTCTGCGATGAAGAAATGCACATTCACAGAAATAAAGAGCAAAGTTAAGGTTTGAGATTGTAAAGATGGTAGGAACGGCTTAGTAGAATGAAGTAACCTACAAACACTTACAAAGCAGTCAATTGAAGAATTAAGTAAACAACAGTAGAGCAAAAACCCAACAAATCAATTTATGACTCATGCAAAAGCGTAGAAGAACTTCATTTGTAGCAATTTCCATCCACAATGACCTACTTTCTGTCTTTGCATGTCCAACAACAATTGGACCCCTATACTTAATAGGAATCATCTCCACCTGAAACTATTAAAACTCTTGCTTCCTTATAGGTTAATCTTCAACTTGATCTATGTTCGACTATATATTCTACCATTTTAGCTCTTGAAGAGATGTTTTACCACTTGTATCTTTTACTAATAATACCATAATCTATTCAAACCTTCTCCTCTTTAACCAGAACTCAATATTTAATTCTGAAATATCTGTTTTCCAAGTCTTTTACATAGATTTGTTCATGAACATTTCACGCACTCACTGTAGAGAAAAAGATTCTTTCTCAGTAGAAATCAAAGATGGGGAAGTACGTAAAGGTAAATAACCACTGTAACTCCTATAACTTGTAAGGGTAATGCATAAATAGCTCCTTGGATCGGAGCACTACTTAGGGTGCCGAGCTTCTGAGTGAGCTTCAGATATATGAAGCACAGACACTAAAATGTAGATGCTGCATATTGGTTTCAGATAAAAAAACCAGACAGATATGTGCAGGAGGCTCCACCGACACACTTTCTTGCATTTTTTATTTTTAGGGTGTCTTCTAACTTTGGCATGGGAGGTTATCCACTATGGGAGCTTGGAGGAGCAGTGGAGACGCGAGCACTATGTGGTCAACGACGGCAAACTATGTGAGGGATGCGGCAAGAGAGGTGCTAGGGATATTGAAGGGTTTTTCTGGGAAGCACCAAGGCGACTGGTGGTGGAATTACGTAGTACAAGGTAAAGTGGAGGCGAAGAAGGTAGCATACGCGAAGTTGGCAAGGAGCACAAGCGAGGAGGAGAGAAGAGCGAATAGAGAGAGGTACAAGGTGGCAAGGAAGGAGGCTAAGAATGCGTTTGGCCGCCTATACGAGGAATTGGGGGAGAAAGGCGGGGACAGGAAGTTGTTTCGGCTGGCTAAAGCGAGGGAGAGGAAGGCTCGGGATCTGGACCAAGTAAGGTGCATCAAAGACGAGGATGGTAGAGTATTGATGGGAGAGTCCCAGATTAAGCAGAGATGACAGACGTACTTCTATGGTCTTCTAAACGAGGTGGGGGACCGGGATATAGCGCTAGGGGACTTGGGGCATTCGGAGAGTCTCTGAGATTTTAGTTATTGCAGGCGCATTAAGGTGGAGGAGGTCGTGGGGGCTTTGAGTAAGATGAGTAGGGGTAGAGCGACCGGGCCAGATGAAATTCCGGTTGAGTTTTGGAAGTGTGTGGGTAGAGCAGGATTGGAGTGGCTGGGCTGTTCAATGTTATTTTTAGGACGAAGAGGATGTCGAAGGAGTGGAGGTCGAGTGCAGTGGTACCGTTGTACAAGAACAACGGTGATATCCAGTGTTGTAACAATTATAGGGGTATCGAGTTACTTGGTCATACCATGAAAGTCTAGGAGAGGGTGATGGAGGTGAGGGTGAGGAAGACGGCGTCTATATCCGACAATCAGTTTGGGTTCATGCCGGGTCGCTCCACTACGGAAGCTATCCACCTTATTAGGAGGTTGATGGAATAGTACAGGGATAAGAAGAAGGATCTGCACATGGTGTTTATTGACTTGGAGAAAGCGTATGACAAGGTCTCTAAGGAGGTGCTCTAGAGATGTCTTGAGGCAAAGGGCGTGCCGGTAGCCTACATAAGAGCGATCAAGGACAAGTATGATGGAGCTAAGACTAAGGTTAGGACTGTGGGAGGCGACTCGTAGTATTTCCCGGTTGTTATGGGATTACACCAAAGTTCTGCGCTTAGCCCGTTCTTATTTGCCTTGGTCAAGGATGCATTGACAAACCATATTCAAGGGGATATGCCATGGTGTATGTTATTTGTTGATGACATAGTTCTATTTGATGAGACGAGGGTCGGTGTTAACGAGAGATTGGAGGTTTGGAGACAGACCCTCGAGTCTAAGGGTTTCAAATTGAGCAGGTCTAAGACAGAGTACCTGGAGTGCAAGTTTAGCGCTGAGTCGAGAGAAGTAGGCAGGGACGTGAGGCTTGGATCACAGGTCATCCCCAAGAGAGATAGCTTCAAGTATCTTGGGTCGATGATCCAAAGGGACGGAGAGATCGACGAGGACGTCACTCACCGTATAGGGGCGGGCTGGATGAAATGGAGGCTTGCATCTGGAGTCTTGTGTGACAAGAAAGTGCCACCGATACTCAAAGGTAAGTTTTATAGAGCTGTGGTTAGACCGGCCATGTTGTATGGAGCGGAGAGTTGGCCGGTTAAGAACTCCTATATCCAGAGGATGAAGGTAGCAGAGATGATGATGCTGAGGTGGATGTGCGGGCACACTAGGATAGACAAGATTAGGAATGAAGATATTCGGAAGAAGGTAGGCGTGCCCCCTATGGATGACAAGATGCGGGAAGCGAGGCTCAGATGGTTTGGGCACGTGCGGAGTAGAAGCCTTGATGCTTCGGTGAGGAGGTGTGAGCGGTTGGCCGTGGTGGGTACGAGAAGAGGTAGAGAGAGGCCTAAGAAGTATTGGGGAGAGGTGGTCAGACAGGACATGGTACGACTGCAGATTTCCGAGGACATGGCCCTTGATAGGAAGGTCTGGAGGTCAAGCATTAGGGTTGCAGGTTAGGGGGTAGTAGAGCTTTCCTTACTTCATACCGGGTGTGAGGCGGGGTTGGATTAGGGTTGATCATAGATGGCTTGCAGTTTATGTTGAATCCACACTATCCTTGTTGTTTATCTTAGCCCCGGGCCTTAGTTACTGGTTACTGTTATTGCATGTCATTTATCTTTTGGTTGTTATGCTTCTGTTACTATTACGGTTTCTAGTGGAGTTACTAATGAATTGTCTTTTCTTTTCTGAGCCGAGGGTCTATCGGAAACAACCCCTCTACCCTATCGGGTAGGGGTAAGGTCTGCGTACACATTACCCTCCACAGACCCCACTTTGTGGGATTTTACTGGGTAGTTGTTGTTGTTGTTGTTTTAACTTTGGCATGGGTGTACCTTGGTTCAGACATGAGTTTTATTATTTTAACACCAAATAGGTCCAATACCTACAAAAATTAAGACCTCAGCAGAATAAACAAAGCTACTGGCCAAACAGATTACCAGTGTTCCTTTGGAACGCATAACGGCAAACTCGAAGTGCAGACTTGAATTGTCTCACTGGTTCGCTGCTATTGTATCCAGAGTTCCTGTCTTCACCTTTTCTTCCTTTCTTTGCTTTTACCATTTCATGCTAAATGGTTGTCTTTTGGTGCTCTAAAATGTTTTAAATTTAATATTTGCAATTTATAAGAAATTTTTCTTCATTTCCCAATGTTTTTAATTTAGTATTTGGTGCAATTAGTGAATTTATTTTTCTAAATATTCATATTCTCAATGCTCTTATACATTGTCCAACATGTTTGGTGCTCCTTTTCTTTATATTCTCAATTTTCAGATAAAAGTGTCTAACATGCGTAATGAATAAATGTTTCACCCTAACAGAAATAATGTGCACCATACAAATTACAACAACTGTGGGAGAGGGAAAGACACAAAAAGTAGATTGTAGACCTACATATAAAAAGAACAGGGGAACAGCGCAGCAAAAAAGACCTTGTGCAATTAACAGATTGAAATAACGCATCACGCAAAGCAGAGCAGGGGAGTATGGTATTATCATAAGTTGGCATTTACCTGCATTTCAACCATGGAATTGAAGATTTGGCAGAGCAAATCATTCATTTGGAGGGCAGTCGGGAGTTTCTGATATTTCATCCTCGCTTTTCGGAACTTTGCTTTTTGCCCTCAAGTTTTTCAGGTCCTTCATTGTATCTTCAAGGTTCATCAACCTCTTATCCAGCATCTGAACCTTATCAATACAAACCTCAAACTGACTAGCATATTCTTCCTCCGCTTCTTTTGCTTTTTGTTCCAAAAGCAAACAAATGGATCGATTTTCTTCCTCTTGCTTGAGGCGTAGCTTTTCGATTTCAGCAGCGCTCAACATTAGACCTCCAGGACCAGCATCTTTGTAATATGGTTCTTCAGGCAGCTGGAACTTTTGCCTATACTCGGAGAACTGCTTCTGCATATCCTTCAATGCCTTCNACTCAGAGAACTGTTTCTGGGTGTCCTTCAATGCCTTTCTGTAACCATCCAAAATATTTCCCATTATAAAAAGCTCCCGTTCAAGACGACAAATCTCTTCGTCTTTCCTTTGTACTTCTTCATATTTAGACTTATGCAAGTGTTCAATTACACTGTCCCTTTTATGCAATTCGTTGATCAGAAGTTGCTGGTTCATGTTGAATTGCTCCTCATTCTGTTCTTTAGACTCATACATCATCCTGGCCCTCATCATTAGCTGCTGCATTTGCTCCATGCATGAACCAAAATCTAATGGCTTCTGGTCCCATGCACCCTCATTCCTCAACCTCTTGTTGCTGCCATTGAGAGAATGGTCAGGCTCAATCTCAATCCCTCTCTTACTTCCACTACCAAAAAATGAACCACTTGTATGCATCTCAGCTCTAGATGCAAGAAGCTCAACTGAAGACTGATCGTGAAGTTGCCCCTGTGACGTAAATGCGATCTGTGTAGTTTCCATCGTTTGAAGTAGATTTCCTGTCAATCCATCCCCAATAAGAGTATCATCACTAGGCATAACATCAAATCCATCTTCACCCTCATCCCTCTCCGCTCCTTCCTCCTCCTCCTCCTCATCATCTGCCAACTCATCGTCTTCTTTCTTCTCATCATCATTATCCAAAGACACCGCTTCCTGCATCTTACATTTCTGTAACAAGGGCTCATTTGCATCTGTTCTCTCATAAAAAAGCCGATGTTTCTCTTCCTCCCCCTCCTCCTCTTCCTTTTGTTCCTCAACATCCATCATCTCCACATCCTTTCCCTCTTTCTTCTGGCCAAGGTCCTGCCCCAAAGTCAACTCAAAATTCAGTCCCTCATCTAAAGCTCTATCCTCTTGTTGAGCTTCACTTGAGCTACCAACTTTTGCATTGTCCTCGTTAACACAGTCATCCTCCTCCTTCACAGCGACTTCAAACTCCATTTTTTCCGGCTCTTCACCAAACAATACCTCCTCACGCTGTGACTTTATCAAGTACTGCAAATGTGCAGCATAATAACAGTCCACTAATTGGTCCCCTTTCATCAATTCCTTCTCAACCATGAACCAGAACAATCCAGCCCAATCCACTCTCTCAGGGTGCCCATCTTTTATAGTCTTAATCCAATTCAAGACCTCATTAGGCATTATAAATGTGTCTTCATGCAAAAGCACCCAAATCGACACAAAATCCTCAAGAAAACCTATCGATTCCTCAGACAATGCATCAGCATCCAAGTCCAGACCATCAACACTACCTCTGTCCTTCTTCACAGGCAGCTTAAGTGCCCGGGCTAAATCAGCCCGATTAACCAAGATTCTAAAATCATTAACATAACTATACCTCAATTTGGAATCATAAGTAGCAATTAACTGTGCAATCAAATCAACCCTTAAATCACGATCGAATTCTATATGTACAAAATCCCATAACCCTAAACGCCTCAGTAACTTCTCATGCCTAGCAAAATCAAGAATCTTGGAAGGGCAAAAAGGAAGAGGCTTTAAGTTCTCCTTAAGTGTTTGAAGTCTTTTTTCAATGGCTTGTAACTTCTTAGTGCTGGCTTTACTCTTCTTACGCTTGATGCGCTTGTGGGTAGTAGTAGTAGTAGTGGGTGACATTAGTGGAGGGTCAGGGACACTTACTTCTATTGAGTCAGCAATCGGTAAAACCACATTTAAAGAGAAATTAGGGAATGTATCAGCCGCACCTGAAATTTTTTGATCAGGGTTTTCTTGGTCTTTTTCGTCAAGAATCACTTCTGGGGTTTCTTGATTTTGTGGATTTTCTTGGTTTGTAGGGTTAAGGGGTTCCAAGATTTGGGGTTGAGAGTGAGATTGTGAAGTTGGGTTGTTGTTGTTGTCGTCTTTGTGTGGTTCATTTGGGTTGGAGGAATCATCTAGGGTTTGGTCTACTTGATTTGGGGAATTAGAGGAGGCTGACATTTTGTCTTTTTAAGGAAAGGAACGTCTATCAAGAGCGAGTTTCCTCTCGGAAGGAGCAAGTAACGAAGGGTTTTCAAGGATCTGAGTTAGAACATTTTGATTTTTGAGAGGATGAGCTGCTTCTTGTTCTCCCTTCTAAGTTGTTCCTCAAACTTTGCTTTACCATATTGTTATGTTTTTCTTTCCTTTTATTTATTTCTTTTTGCTTAAGGCATAGTTTACCCCAACTTATAAGCAAATTCCTTTTATGTACTCCAATTTCACCGGAAGTATCTTACATACTGAATGCGTGTATTTAACACACTGTATAGGTCGAAATTTGGCGAAACTCCTGGTCGGGATGCCTACAATGGTCGAGGACGAGGTCCGCAGAAAGAGTTATAACGGCTAATTTTTGGAATAGGGTAAGGGATATGTCATATATAAAGAAGACAAAAGATAGGGAAAATGGACATGTAATATTGACTTGATAAGAACATATTTTTGAGAAAGATTCTACCCCTCTAGCAAAGGTACAAACATATCTTTTCATATAGATTCTTGCTCATATTATCCTACACTTTTCTATCATATCCAAGAATAGTTCGAACATTTTAGGATTTGTCTGTCACTCATCATAATTAGGAGGAACAATCATCTAATTCATACTTCTCATATTTACTTAGATGTCATTTATTGTTATTTATTGTTAGTTACTCCTCCATCATTGCTCATATCTTTTAGAATATTTAATGCTTGTTATTGCCAATCTCCCATCAGATTTGTTCAATGATTAGTTACATTTTCGGAACTTACATTTAGAGATATTATCATTAACTACGTTTAACCCATTACTTCCTCCGGTTCATAATAAGTGACCAATTTGCTTTTAGCACGCCCATTAAGAAAATACTAAATTCTATACAAATATACCTAATATGACTAAACTACCCCTAATTAAACATTTAATGTGAGGAGTAAGAAAACTTTTTAGGGATATGTATGTAGGGGTTATTTTGTAAAAACAAATTGAATTCTTTCTTGATTACATAACTTGCCACTTATTTTGAACCAAAATGAAAAAGCAAATTGGTCACTTGTTATGAACCGGAGGGAGTATATAAGTACAATAGTTTTAACCGAAAGTCATACTTTTTGGTCGAACAATTTGGCGCCGTCAGTAGGGATTTCCTAGTCAAATTTGTAGTTTTCTCTAAATCTATAACTAACTAGAGGTGTTAACTGGACGGGCTGGTTCAGGCTGGACACGAAAAAAACAGCCCGTCCGGGTATTGTTCCGGGCTGATAAGTGGGCTGAGGTTCCGGGCTAGTAGTGGCCTGGGTTATTCCGAATTTTGGTGGGTCCGTCCAGGTACAAGCTTATCGGGTTCGGACCGGACCAGATTTTTTTATTTTTAGTGTATTATGTTTCCTTATTCAATATAATTATTACTTAAATGTTTGCAAACTTTTAAATCATAAAATAAGAATTTTAAGGCATAAAATTAAATTTTTTAACTTTAAAATTTAAAGTTTTAAATTTGAAATTTGAATTATATAATTTGAAAATCGAAATTAAGTGGCTACATAAAATTACATAATAAGACCAATATGTAAAGATCAAACTTCAAATCTTTCATTTCATATTATCATTGCATAATAATACTTAAAATTAACTTGTCCAATACACTAACACATTAAGTTTAAATAAGTCTAACAAATTCAAAAGAACACAAATTGTCTCAAATTAACTTAAAATACGAATTGATGGAGGACAATCAAGACAACCCTTGATATGCCTCCTTAAACCAGCGGTGCCCTCCCACTTTCGACGAATATTAAAGACTCGACCACAGTTCTTGCACTAAACTTTGCGAACTTCTTCACTTTCTTCTATCATCTCAAAGTGTTCTCAAACATGTGAGTGCACTCTAGAAGCACAGGGCATGATTTAACTTGAACCTAACAAAAAATGGTAACCACATTTCAGTTGATAATTGTAATAATGTAGTGGCTACCGTAAATAATTGATAAATTTGAAATATTAATTAATTGAGAACTTGAGAGCAATAAGCAATTCAATAATCATGAGGGAATTGAGAGAGAATTAGAGTAAAAGAAGAGAGAAAATTGTGAAGAAAAATAAAGAAGAAGTAGGGCTATTTATAGTTTTTAAAAGGTTAAAATTGTAATTTATCAATTATTAGGGGTGGGGGGCTATTTTCTTAAGGGTGTAGGTCGAAATGGTCAAATTTGCAAAAAATGACCGTTGCACAACGGTAATTTTTGAATCTGACCGTTGGCAACGGTCAAAAAATTTTAAAAAAGAATTCCAATGGTAATCGGGCTGGACCGGGTTGTAGCTCGGTAAAAACCCGGTAGTAGGTAACAGGGCTAACTAAGTTCCGGGGCAGCGGTTACCAAAATATGTTCGTTCCCGTCCGGCTCCCCCCAACCCTCCCCAACCCGTCCCATCCGCCAGCATACCGGGCTGATCCGGGTCGAACCAGGCTATCATTGGGCTGGCCCGACCCGATTACCAGGTATATAACTAAGGCGGATCACTAACATAAAAAAAAAAAAGAAACAAGAACAAGATCTCCTTTCTTTGCATGTACAAATACAATATCATAGGTAATGGAGAAGAAAGGACGAGAATAATAAGTGACCTCTCAACCAACCTCATGAACGTCATCAATGAGAGCTGTGAAACAGCAGACAGAGTCATAACGCCCAATGCCTCCCCTAGGCGAGATGGGCCACCTCCTCCCCACTGCATTATCACAAAATCTCTTGGTAAGGGAGCCTCCACATCCGTGGCAGAGGAGATGCCCACAGCTGTAAAAAAGCTCCTCGAGGCTTGGTTAACTGATATGCTAACTAGCGTCCTCCATAAGCTCTCTCGGGACACGACTACACAAAACGCAAGGACTTGCATTATACAACCATCAAACGATTAGCCTCACCAATTTCCTCTTCCCCAAACGACAGGTATTACTCACAATGTCATTAATAGTGCATGTGACAATGCTCTCGCAACCATTATGAAAAGGATAGAGGAAATGGAAAACAAGAACAAAATGCTTCAGGACCAAATGAGAGAACACCAAGAAAGGGTCGATAAGACACCGGGCGCCCCTAAGCTCTTGCCAAAGAGAGATGCTGGTCGGTCTGTCGAGCAGCTGTATAGTGAGGATGCCGCTCCATATGCCATACAAAAAACCTTTAAAATGCCACCCTATCTGAAAATATATGATGGCACAACCAACCTCGAAGACCATGTGACTCATTACGTCACCGTCGTGAAAGGCAATAATCTCGCCAAGGAACAAGTATCCTCCATTTTGTTGAAACAATTCGGCGAGACCCTCACGGGAGGAGTGTTGACATGGTATTCACAACTGCTTACATGTTCCGTTGAAACTTTAGAAAAAATGGCCGACAAGTTTGTAACAGCCCATGTTGGGGCCAAGAAGGCTAAGGCCTTGTAAACGACATATTTGCTATTAAACAATCCCCGAGAGAGGATTGAGGGACATCTTCACCCGATTCAACCGATTAAGAATGACCTTACCAAACGTATCAGAAGGGATGGTGGCCGCAGCCTTTCAAAACGGGATAAGCATAAACAGTTCAAGGGCAACAAGAAAGTTATTAAGTCGGTTCATGAAGTAACCCCAACTACTTGGGATGGAATACATAACGCGTATTGTGTCGAGGTCTGAGCAGACGAGGATGATCTTAATGGACCAACTGATCGATTGACCTTGGTACAGGCTGAATCCAGAAAAGATCGAAGTAATGATATCAGAAGGGACCTCACAACTCCGCGATCCAATAGGGAATGCCATCTACCATATGTCAGAGCGACTGTTGCATCTCCTCCCCCCACGAAAAGGGCCCACCCAGATCAAGGACAAGGATTCACCGGAATGAAAGAGGTATGTCCCCTTTATTATCCACTCACAATTTTTGTGTGTCACCTATAAAAATAGTCTCCGTATTGGAGAAGCTCAGACCAAAGGTGAAGTGGCTGCAAAAGATGAGGTCAGACCGGCATGCCAGAAAATCGAACGCCCTATGCGAGTTCCACCAAGAGTGAAGGCACAAAACCGAGGATTGCATCGCCCTAAGACAGGAGGTCGTAAACATGCTACAACAGGGACACCTCAAAGAGTTACTGAGCGACCGGGGAAGGACCAACTTTTCCAGAGGTCATGAACAACATCAAGGACCTCTGAAACCAACCTCGCCGACCCGCACAGTGTGAAGTTCACCACGACCCACAAGCTCAAATGGTCAATCACCCACAAACGGTATGATAAACTCGAAGAAATTATCATCTTCGATAAGTCAGATACCAACGGTTTAGATTTCCCTCACTATGATGCCCTTGTTATCACTTTACGAATTTTAGATACCGACGTAACATGTATTATGGTAGACGATGGGAGCGGCACGTGTATTATCCACCCTCGAGTATTTTCACAAATGAAACTCGAGGATAAAATAGTGTCGCATTGCATCACGTTAACGGGTTTTAACAATACAGTTGAGCGAACATCCGGCAAGATCACACTTCCCTTCCTGGACGATGACATCGCTTTGGAAACCACATTTCATATTATGAACCAAGACACAGCATACAATGCCATAATAAGGCGACCATGGATACATACCATGAGAGCCATCCCCTCCAGCTGGCACCAAGTCATCAAATTCCAAACTCCATGGGGAATATTCAATATACGAGGGGAAAAATACACATCCCGTGAATTCTACCGCATCACTCTAGACTGCACAGTCACTCAACAAACAAAAGACAAAGAAAAAGAGGCATAGCAATCAATAGGGTGTATGTCGATATGCGATGATAGTGAGAACGTCACCAAAGGCCCTGATACGGTCGAAGCCGCAAAATCGACCATAGAAGACCTCGACCCCGTTCAATTAAACAACAACGAACACAACAAGAAAGCTTACATCGGTTGTGAACTTTAGGAATGAGGTATCCCGAAGGAAATCGCCACGCACAAGCTGAACGTCGATCCATTCCACCCCCAGTGAGGCAGGTTAGACTCAAGTTCAACTCCGCAATTAATGATGCGGTATGCGAAGAGGTGGAAAACTATTGGAAAATGGCTCCATTAGGGAGTCGAAATACCCCCAATTCGTCACCAACGTGGTCATGGTGAAAAAGAAATGGGAAATAGA